GCTGCTGCCCGCGCCCATTGTTCCCCGCGGGGGCGGGGCGCCTGGAGCCCGGCCGCGCGCCGCGCCCCTGCTCGCGGGAGGGAGGGAAAAAAGGGAGGGAGCGCGGGGTCCCCGCGCCCAAACCGGGCCCCGGAGGAGGCGCAGCGCGGCCAGCCGGGGGACCCGCGGCCCGACTGGGAGCCTCCCCGCGGCGCGCAGCCGGCGCGATCATGGGCTCCTGAGGTGGCCCCACGTCGGCAGCGAAGGACGCGTCCCCACTCGCAGGAGGACCTGAAGCAGGTCCCCCGTGCCTCACCCGCACGGCTGCCCCCGGCCCGGCCTCGGCCGCTGGCACCATGGACAAGCTGCCGCCGTCCATGCGCAAGCGGCTCTACAGCCTCCCGCAGCAGGTGGGGGCCAAGGCGTGGATCATGGACGAGGAAGAGGACGCTGAGGAGGAGGAGGCCGGGGGCCGCCAAGACCCGAGCCGCAGGAGCATCCGGCTGCGGCCGCTGCCCTCGCCTTCACCCTCAGCGGCCGCCGGCGGTGCGGAGTCTCGGGGTGCGGCTCTCGGGGCGGCGGACAGTGAGGGGCCCGCCCGCAGCGCGGGCAAGTCCAGCACCAACGGAGACTGCAGGCGCTTCCGCGGGAGCCTGGCCTCGCTGGGCAGCCGGGGCGGCGGCAGCGGTGGAGCAGGGAGCAGTAGCAGTCACGGGCACCTGCATGACTCCGCGGAGGAGCGGCGGCTCATCGCTGAGGGCGACGCGTCCCCCGGCGAGGACAGGACACCCCCGGGCCTGGCGGCCGAGCCCGAGCGTCCCGGCGCCGTGGCACAACCCGCAGCCTCGCCGCCGCCCCAGCAGCCGTTGCAGCCGGCCTCCGCCTCCTGCGAGCAGCCCTCGGCGGACACCGCTATCAAAGTGGAGGGAGGCGCGGCCGCCGGTGACCAGATCCTTCCAGAGGCCGAGGTGCGCTTGGGCCAGACCGGCTTCATGCAGCGCCAGTTCGGGGCCATGCTGCAACCAGGGGTCAACAAATTCTCCCTGAGGATGTTCGGCAGCCAGAAAGCGGTGGAGCGCGAGCAGGAAAGGGTTAAGTCGGCCGGGTTTTGGATTATCCACCCCTACAGCGACTTCAGGTTAGAGGCCGGGTGGGGATGCTGTGGATGTCTGGCGCGGTCGCAGGCATGCTTTCTTTCCTGGCCCTGCCTCCCAACCGGAGTTAACTTTCCTTCCTTGCGCTGGGAGCTCCAGGAGAAGCCTGGCGCCCGGGAGGCTCCTAGACACCCCCAGACCTCCTGCAGCGCGCTGGGAACTTCCTCTGTGTTCAGGCTCCTGCCTTCTCTCTTCTAGGGTCTGGGCCGCATTGGAAAAAGACTCAAAGGTTTTCTGAGTTCGGCCTAGCCCTTCCTGCAGCCAGGGTAGATCTCTCTCACTGTAAGCCACACATTGCACCTCCTCCTTGGAGGCTGCAGAGCCAAGGTGGCCATCCTAGAGGCAGCTCTGGATTATTCAGCTTGCAGAGCAGAGCCATGGAGGCAGACAGACACCTTAGTAGCTGGGCCAGCTCCTTGGGTGCTGACTGCAGGTATTAATATCTTTGCAGGGCCTGTGAAGCTGCTGCCAGGTCCCTGGAGGACTGAGGTCACTAAAGCCTCAGGGCTAGGATAAAAACCCTCTGTACTCCTTAACCCTGGCTGCAGCCCCTCATGCTGAGTGGTTGACTAGGAACAGGCCCCCTGAACAGCTAGCTTCTAGATTGGCAGGGCAGCATGACCTTGCTCATAGTGGTCAATGAAGGTGCCTGGTGTCCTGACAGACATGCAGCTATCCAATAATCCCTAAGCAGGTCCAGTGGCCCAAGCTCTGGCAGCTGCAAGATCTCTCATGGGTTCATAAACAAAAAAGTGCAACTGCCAGTCAGGGAGAGGGACCTTGTACCCTCCTGCATCTCCTGAGTCAGATACCACTGATCAGCAGATACCACTCTGGGCCTGTGGATGGATCTGTGTAAAAGAGTTGTGGGTTATCTCTAGGTGGTGATCATGGATGCTTTTATCCCAGTCAAGTCTGAGTCCCCACTGCCCCATGCCTCTTCAGGCTTTCCTGGCACAACAAATCAGGGTGAAGATCTAGCTGGGTTTTCCTCTCTTTCTTCCTCCCTGGGTCCTGCCCTTGTTTGTCATCCATGCCTGCCTACCTGCTGGCCTGCCTGCATAAAGGAACATTTTGCCGACCAGAGCCTCTTTGCAAACTCCAGGGAAGCCGGATTTGTAATGAGAGCAAAGTCATTTTCCATCCAATGAGAGAGATTTCTTTGACTGAGAATGACCAGTCAGATAACACCTGGTGGCTTAAAATAGGTGGTGAATAGCAAAAGGCCCCTTTTATTTGTTTCCTCTTTTCTTTTGAGAAATTGCTCTTTCGAACCCTAATATCCAAGCTTCCTATTGCCAGAGGGCAAGAAGGCAGTGGGCTGGCTAGACAGAGTTGTAGCCTTCAGACTGGTGAGAAAAGTGGGCCCTTCTTAGGGTTTGTAGGAACTGTGGCTGGCTTCCTAGTCCTAAAGCATGAACTCCCCCAACTAGAACTGGGACCCAAGGCTCCCATGTTGAGCCAGGGAAAAGTGGACAGGAGCCATGTCTCCTCATTCCCCACCCCCAGGTGTCCTGTCCCTCTGAATACCTCAGTTGTGGTAACAGATAGATAGTTCATTTATTAACCACTTGAAATTGTTGAGGCCCTCCTTGCCTGTGCTCAGCTCCTGCCTGTCTTTGTAGTGGGAAAACTTCCAATTCAGGGTTTCTATGCCCAAGCCCATTGCTAACCTTGGGCATGCATGTCTTACCTCCACTGATGTGGACCTTCTGGGTGCACAGCCTTGCCTTCCCCACCTCTCTTCCCTCAAATGATGAAAAAGTAGGATTGGGTGGATTTCATGCAAGGGAACCCCTCCTCCCAGTTTCCTGGTCTTACCTAGGCCTTCTTGACTTGCTGGTCTGTGCTCCTCTTGCTATGGGGCCTCCACTGATACAAGCTGCAGGGACATGGAGTCTGGACATGGGAGAGGGTGGATGCAGCAGGACTGGTAAATGGGCAATGGGATAAAGTTCCAACTGGGCTTTGTGTGTGGGTTTATGCAACAAGCAACAGAGACTGGCAGCTGGAAGTACATATCTGTATGCACAGCTTTGTGACCAATGCCGGGTCTGGAGGATAGGAAGAAATCCAAGGGAGAATATGTGAGTCTCTGGAGGATGGTGGTCATGCCCTTTCTGTCTCTAAGCCAAAATGACTTATCTTCAGAGACTACTAAACATAGAAAACCCACCAATCCACCCAAACTAACCCCCACTCTCCCCAGAACCCAAGCCTTGAACCATAAATTTTCAGACATTGGCCTTAGGCCTCTATAGGGAGCCAAACATCATTGCCCACCAGAGCTTCTGCAAGCACTGCCCAGGCCAGTTGAAGATTTATTCATCATTTTGACAGGCAGGAAGCATTGATCCAGCAGAACTGGTTTAATAAAGAATCATCAGCAAACCATGATAGATTGAGTTTGTGGTTTGGAGTTCAGGGTTGGCTGTGAAGGGCTGATTCAGGCATCTCCTGTCCTGGGGGAGAAGGGCTGGGGACCTTCCCTAGAGAGGGTATGGGTTTGCTCTGAAGACCCACCATAACCTGGGCCATGACTGAGAAGCTATTCCTGGTTGTCTCTGCTTCTTGACTGTACCCCTCCCATCACCAGGCCCAGGCTATTCATATGGCTTTTGTAGTCTGTACAGCTTATCTGGCTTCCGCTCCCATCCAACTCCCTATTGGCCTTTTGAAGCTTGTACATAATGGTTTGTTAATGGAAGAGACTAGCACGTGGCAACCCTCAAGACTGTCTCTGAGCTACTCACCAAGGTCCCAGTTGGGTCCTTTGTCTCATGGGAGCTATGTCCTAGAAACCTAGGCTCGATGTCGGGAACCCAGAACACATGACACAGTAGTTATGTGATCCAGGTTTTCTAAGAAGTTGGAAAGGGGGCGAAAGAGAATGGAGACCCCAAGAGACGGTATAGCTGGTTTTGTTACCAAAGGCTTGTCAGCTTTTTGAGTGTCAGGCTCAGGGAGTTGACCTGGGTGCATGTATGCTGGTGGTATCTGTCTGAACAGTGTCTTAGGGTTGTGTGGGTAGATGTGGTGGCTGGCAGGGAAGTTCTTACCTGGATGTTAACTCTGGGGCTACTGCTGTGCTCAACTTCAACAACAGAGCAGGTTGAAGTGTGGCCTCCTCACTCATCTCCCTGCCCTTGCCTGCTCTTGGTCTGAGCATTTTGAAGCCCAGAGGAAGTGAAGGGAGGGAAGGATCTTAAAGCATCCTTTCCTTAGGGTGGAAGCAGATAGGTTCCAGAATCCTGAACGCTGAGAATATGATAGGTCCTAGGGTTTGCTCAAGTATACTTTTTTTTTTTTGTTTTTTTTGCGACAGGGTCTCCCTGTAGCCCCAGCTGGCCTGGAACTCGATTTGTAGACCAGGCTGGCCTCAAATTCACAGAGATCTGCCTGCCTCTGTCTCCCGAGTGCTGGGATTAAAGACGTGCGACAACATACCCACCTCCAAGTAGACTTCTTGCTGCTGGTCCCTGTACTAGGTCAATGCCACAGTCACACATCCCCTCCCACGTGTTCTGCTATGAGGCACTGCTTGAGTTATAAGGCTTTTAACCTGTTTTCCTGTCCAGAAAATGGTAATCCTCTTGCCTGTCTCTATAAGCTGTGTAACTGTGGTCACCTAGAGGAAGTGAGAAGCTGCAGTGGGCTGGGAGACATCTCTCACCGTTTCCTTTTGGTCCCGGGTAGATCACATGGGCCTCTGTTGTGGGTTCTGGCCAGAGGTTCTGAACCCACTTGTGGTCTGACACTTCACTAAGAACTTGCTGGAACTACTGAAAAATGTACATATAGCTAGGTGCATGCAATGTGGCACTTAGTTTCCTGTGTCTGGGGCTCCCTTAAGTTGAAGACCATGTTGGGGCTGATGGTTTTGAGTCCCAAGCAGAGCTAGGACAGGGGGGTCGGGGGAGTGCAGGTGTTAGACTTTCCTGGAGCCTGGTATGGGGTGGTTTCCTCTGTGATCTAGGTGGGCCTTCCATCACCAGCAGAGTACAAAGGAAGTCAGGGATGGGAGTTAGAAGCCTGAGAAAGGAAAAGGGACTCTTTGAGGACTGGTTGCTTGACCTTTTCTCAGGCCTGCTCCTGTGTCTCTCCCTTGTAGCCCTGAGAAAGACTGTTGAAAAAGGAGGAGACAGTCTGGCTCTGGGTCTGGGAGTTTAGAGGCCCCTTCATGGGAGGGCCTTCCAGTAGCCATTGTCTAGACTGCTGCTCCTGCTGGCAGTGTGGGAAGCTGGGTGAAAGGTGCTGTAGGCACAGGTGACTGATGGCCGGTGAAGGGAAGGCACCTTGCAGAGGAAATTCCTAGGTGAGTTGCCTGGGTGGTGCTGTCGACTGGCACAGTGGGCAGTGGGTTCTCCAGCTATGAGGTGTGTCCTACTATACAAGGCTAGGGCTGGAAGAGCTCAGGACTGCCATCCTTCTGTAAGTTCAGGTGCCTGGAAACCCACTAGGCCAGAGGGCTAGACCCCTTAGTTATCTGGACTCCAGTTCCTAAGACTGGTGACTGTATGATGGGTCTGGGGGCTGCCTTCTCCTCTGTTTGGGCTTGTGTCCTTTATCCCCTTGGTGTTATGAGCTGAGGCTGTTTTACTTGCAGGTAACTGACTTCACATAGGAAGATTGGACAGTATTCTTCTGTCTGCCTATCCATCTGCCCTCCTCCCCAGGCTGTTAGACTTCCCAATTCCTAGGTTTTCCTTGTGCTGTCCTGTCTACCATCCACATTTCCTTCCTACCTACCTGGTGGCATTAAATGGAGTTCTGTTTTACCTCACCTTGTGGCTAGAATGCATCCAACTCAATCTAGGAGCTTTGTTAAAATGCAGGTTTGGGGGTGGGATCTGAGATTCTGCATGTCTGATAAGCTCCAGGTAAGGCTGATGCTGCTGGTACCCAGGGACCAGGTATGGAATTCGGAGCTTTCAGTTCATGTACTTGTTCAGTGCTTTCTGAGACTCTGTATCCTCTGCCTTTC